ACAAAGTGGAACTACACTGGAAAATTGCAGATATTTATGCAGAAAAATAGTAATTAGTCTGTTCCTTTAGGCTTTAAAGCTGCTCTTTTTTTATCAATTTTAATCAGTGTATCAGTTATTTAGTTTTGTTAACTCATCACACATCAAATGTATTAAAAATTAACGCCATAATTCCCAAAATGATGTCTTTCAATGTCTTCTTGTGTTTGACTAAAAGTCTGAAACTCAGGTTTTCATTTAGAATTACATAAAACAGAGAAGGCAAATATTTAGCAGATTCGCAATTAACCGCTTTAATGTTCAATTTTTTTTCTTGCATATATGTGTGTTTATACTGCCCCTGCTGTATTGTTTCTATCTTTTTTTTGTTTGTTTTTATGCCTTAATTAGAGAGTTGACGGAAAATAAGGGGCGAGAGAAGGCTTGGAAATGAGGCACAACAAAAGCCTCTTGCTGGATTTGTTGAATCAGTGAAGCTGCACTTCATAGACAGGCCTTAAACCCCAAAACAACCAGGACACTGCAAAAAAAAATCTATTTAAAAACAAAAAGTTTTATCCATCCCATTCTGTAAAAAGGCAGAAATAATTTTAGGCCAACAAAGAACCTGTATCTTTTCGTGGAACAAACTGAAAAGTTAGATTTGATATTCAGACGTCTCTTTCCTGCATGACTGGACCTTAAATGTTCGCTTTCTTTCTTTCTATGCCAATGGCAATGCTGCTGGAGAACCTGAGTAAGTCGACCAGTAAGGACGCCGTATGTAAACAGCATTCTTCATTCTCACACAGGTTGTTTTAATGAGTTTATTGAGTTTTGGTCCACGTGGGGAAGTTGGCTCACAGGTCAATGCTATCAGAAGGTACATATGACGCTTTTATGTTTTCCAACTTAATTTTTCTCAACAGATTTTAAAAGGCACACGGGGTCGCTTTCTTTGTAGCGATATGAAGATTACTGCAGGGTGTTGGTGAACCCAAAAAAGTCTTGAGCGACTGAAATTGTACCTTTTCTTCCACCAATCTGCATGTTGTCTGTAGATGAACTGAATTATCGACTGTGCTCTCTATCCGTTAGCATCCATCCATCCATTATCTATACACTGCTCTATCCTCATTAGGGTCACAGGGGGGCTGGAGCCTATCCCAGCTGACACCCTGGACAGGTCTCCGTTAGCATTATTAGCCTAAATTAATTCTAAATATAAACATAACAAACATTAGAAAACTAGTATTTGCAACATATTAAACTGACAGCTAATGACTAGCACAGGTTCTTTGAAGTAATCCTGGAAGGCTGCTGATAAAACGCTTTAGTCCTCATGAAAAAACACCAGTGATTGTCTGACCAATGAGAATTTGATTGAATGAAATACTGTTAATCGTTCAGCTCAACCGTGTTGTTTAGACTGTGGTGGCTACCTCTCTAAAAATCCTTGTTGTAATGTACTATTCCAAGTACAGCCAGTTTAATTTGCTCAGTCATTTCTTGAATAATCAGTTATTTATTCAGTCTTTGAAATGTCAAAACCGCCTTATACTATAATCTATGGAAAAGAAAAGCAGGAGGGAAAACCGCTTTGAGAGGCTGAAACCAGAAAATATTTTGACAATTCTGCATGAAAAGTGACCGGAGCAATTAAATTCAATTTAAAATAGTTGCACATTAATGCAGATTTAATTGTGAAATCCTGAAAAGCAATGAGCAGAACTGCTTCATTGGCAGTATTTGATTTTTCTATAGTTTTTGCATTAATATGAAGACACAAATCAGACAACCCTGCTTTGTTTTACCCAGCAACAAATTCTCAAATGATCTTTCTTAAAAACGGATTATTTAAAGATAGATCTTTATACTATAATAGAGGATTTTTATCCACATTGCAGACACCTGTTATCCAGGTGGTTTTGTTAGCATTATGTGGGAATATTCCAACTTTTGATCTTTAAACTGCTTTGTCTAGTAAAACTTCAAAAATTAAGAGCCTGAGCTTTTAGATCTTCAAATGAATGTGAGAAAGAAGCACCCCTTAAGAACAAAATGGTTTGCCATGAGCTTATTGGGCAAAACAAGTTTTCCGGCACTAAAAGTTCTGCACTAATGGATTGCCTGATATTATGAGGTCAGTGAGTCAGTAAGTGTGGGTGCTCCTCTGTTGGTCTGAACATGTGGAAGCAGAGCACATGTGGCCGAGAAGCATCCCCCGCTAGCTGTTTACTGATATCGTGTGAGCGCTCTCTTCTCACTCTCCACATGCTAACGGGAGGGAGGGGGGGCCCCCACTGGAGCAGCTGGATAAAGAGTTTTCAGTTTAAAGAGCAAACCGAGAGCAACTTCTTAAAGTGCTCTGCAGCAGGGGACTCGCTAACAGATCGCCTCTTTCCCCTCAGCGTTTGACAGACTCTATATCTTCGCCGGCTGCCTTCTCTGCTGTGTTTACACCATAAAGCCAATGTGCTGATAAGAAACACTATAAATATTTGCTTTTAACTGAAACCCGTGTTCAGTGTTGACTGAGGAATATAATGAGGTCTGCGCAAATCCCTCAGCCGGTAAATGACTTACTATAGTATATGAAAGCCAAAGCATGACAGTCTGAGATGGTTGCACATGGGTTTGTTCGTTTCTGACAAACCATTAAAAACAGTTTGCTCATTGTCTTGTACGACTCTAGGAATTAGGCGCTTTATAGATTTCTAATCTAAGGTTGCAACACTGCAGCCGTAAAGGAGCCGCGATCAAAATTATTGCATCACTGACATTTTGAAAACAAGGCGACAACATAAAAGGGTTGCTTAGAGTGATGAACCTAGTGGGGAGTGTTATTAGCTGAATGTGCAGCTTTGCAGAGCTTTGCAGTGAGTTTCAGCTCCTCGTTTAGCTCTGCAGATCACAAGCTCATTATTTTACCTCATTCTCACCACTTTCGTAGCTTTATTTTGCCTGCAGACGGCAGTTTTTTTCCAGCAAAACTGCTCTAAAATCACTGCACAGCTGACAAAGTTGGAAACTAGCCAAGGTAAAATAGTGCTTAGTAGCTAAAGAGTCCGATGTTCTCCACAGGAGTTGGTTGAGACCAAAAACAGAGCTAAAAGAGAGTGAAAATTAGAATTTAAATGGACTTTTATCGTTGCTACACGTCTGTAGGTGTGTTAATGAGCAACAGTTTGGTGACAGATTTGTCTGATCATCTGAAAAGCTGATGATATATCAGTCTCATGTCTAACACTTATTTTTTGTTGTCCTTAAATGGCTGAAGAAGAAAAACATGATTTTGTCTTGCAGACAGTGGTAGTGTGCTTCTTTAAGTGTGAATGGGTTCACCTTGTGATAAACTAAAATCTGGTGTGAAATAGTTGTAATGAGATCTTTATTCATGTTGCTACGGTGCATCTTTGCATGATGAACCATTATTATAGCTTCTGTAAATGAGAAATGCAATATCTAGTTGAACTAAAAGCGAACACTTGCTATCATTTAAGCCTTTTGCAGATCAATCTGTCATTCAGAACTAAGTCGATGTGACATTAATAAAAGATTAAATCCACTATATAGCAAATGATTTAACTGCAGCTGTTCCTGCGTCTGACAGCTTACCTGTCTGAAGTGAAGAAAACCAATCGGGTCTCTCTTGCTCTTTCGTCTCTCGTCACCTTGTCACTGACTATTCTACTTCTCTCTCGACCATAAAACCACATTTAGATGATAATGTGGGTGTAGCCTCGTAAAAGGTAGGGCTGATGCCATACTGTGTTCTTTTATGTTGGATGCCGGAGACATTATGTTTTCAGATTTTCCCGCTCATCCTATTTTCATAAACACAATATCCCGGTAGTGCCTGGACAGAATTTCTTCAAATTTGCCACTATCACTCATATGCATCTGCGGATGTCTCTGGATCTGAAACTGCTGGCCTCACCGACCTCCAAAATGTTGATTGTTCTGTTCTATTTCTTCCTCTCCGTCTGCTATCCCCATCCCCCTCATTCTCACTCTCACCCCAACCAGTCGAGGCAGATGGCTGCCTTCCCTGAGCCTGGTTCTGTCTGAGGTTTTTTTTTTTTTTGGGTTCCTTCCTACCGTTGCCGACTTCTTGCTCATAGGGAATCCAAAGCCAACTTTGGATTGTTGGGTTCTCTGTTCAAAATTCGTAAGCTTTGTACCATACTATGTTAAGCGCTGTGGGATGACATGTCGTGCTGTATGAATCAAATTGAACTGACTTGAGCTTAGACTTGAGGATAAACTGCTTGGATTTTGGTGGTGTGTGGCCTCTTTGACCTCACAAAACACCTATCTGACCATCGAATTATGATAAAATTTCACCAAGTGCTTGACAGGATGAAATAATGAATTGAACAAGTTTTATATCTAAAACTGGTTGGTGGAGTCAGACAATCGCATTATGGTAGTTGTAGTTTTTGTCAGCAAGTCCAGTTAAGCTGTTTGTCCATTTTACAATAAACTACAGTTTCTCTTGCATGTCTGTGACACTATGAATCTCTAAAAAATAGTCCACAGTTTCCCTAAAAACAGGCACTGTGCGTTTTGTTTGAGCAAAATGTATTTCTGCCATGATAGCTTCATGCCTCAGTGAACTACAGAGTGGAGTCTCGGTGTTCAGAAAGGCCTCAAACTGAACTTCCTGGATTCTGTTTCATCTTCTTACCTGTGGCAACACTCGCACACACATGAATGAAGTCTCCCTCCTGCTCTTTGACACATTTCTGTTGTTAAACTCACACACCTTCCTCCAATGGAAGGTCGGCTGCAGAGTCAAATAAAGTTCATTTCTCTAAATCGAGACGGATAACCTCGCAGGGATTTGAGCTCTGCTTCATCCCGCTCCTTGAAATCAGCCCACAGCGCTCTTGTCATGATTGAGCACATCAGTCTTCGCTCAGACGTGTCACGTTGAATGGTAAAAACGGCTGCACTGGCTTTGAGTTTATCCAGCAGTCTTAAGTCTCTAATCGTTACATTTTCATTATATATTTCATTGTGACAGATGTGCTGCCCTCGTTTTATCTTCCCTGTCGAAGATCAATACGATTTGGGACCTGAGTGGGACGCCCAGGTCTCTCCTGCATGGACGTATAGACGACTTGTCACCTTAATGAATGAAGGCTTTTTCGTGTTTTTCCCTTCTGCAGGATTGTCGGTGGATTCGAGACCCTCACGGCCATGGAGAATGTGGAGAGTGATCCCAAAACAGACAAACCCAAGGTAGAGTTTATCTCTCACCTCTAAATGTAAGAATCACACAGAATACCCGTCCACAGGTTTGTCAAATTATGTTTCATTTTACAGTCCTGAACTTTACCTGACACCCTGGTCTGCAGAGAATTACAGAGCGTAGGTGTGGAATCGGTTTAAGTCTCTAGATTGCTAACATTAAAAGCAGCAGAAGAGAGCAAGACTCAGTGGTGGCGTCATGACAGCGTTTTGACCCTTACATGGATCATCTAAAGGTCAGGTGCTAAGACCCGCAATAAAGCAGAGGTCGGTGAGAGATGACTTAGAAATACCAATGAGGCGCAAAGTTCAGTTTGCGAAGCCAAAGTGTTGTTGCCATTCAACACAGCTCTAGAAACGCAGCAAACACGGCAACATTTGTCATTTTTTAGGTTCATGTTGATGCCAAAAGTCATTTTCCTCAAAAAGAAATTTATGGTGTTTTCATCCCATTAACAGAAACTTGAATTTTTATCTTAGCGTTTGACAGCGGATGATAGAACTTAACATTTAGGATGTTTCATCATTTTACACATCATTTAATGGTGACTTTCTGTTTCACAGTCGGAGATCAAGCTCATCAGTACGACCGTGTTCGTCGACCCGTACGAAGAGGCTGACGCTGAGGTTTGGATTTCTCTGACTTTCTTTCCACACAGATTGCACCAAGAATATTTTTAGTTGCACATCAACACTAGAAGCACTTTTCTTTTCTATAGAGTGTGTGTCCCGACAGTACAAATGTTTGGACAGTAGCACATTTTTCATTGCTGTGGCTCTGCTTTAGAGCACATTTGTCTGAGGTTAAACACAACAAACTGTTCCCATTAAGGATAATTAAGGATGTTGACAGTAAATTGCGATTTTGGCTTTTTTTTTTTCTCTCCCAAGTAAAGATTTACTCTCGGAAGCTTAAAGCCATCTCTTTGCTTTCATAATCATTGTTTCATTTTAATTCACAACAGAGCTGGGTGATAAAGCTGAAAAATATATTGGAGAAAAAAAAGTCAGGCTCTATCATTAGTTACTAATTTCTTTTTTAATAAACAGGAGCGGAAGGTTTTATATTTTTTATTTAATTGCTTTATTCTATTTATCAAGGCACGCAGGTAGTTTAATGTTTACGGCAGTGAAGAACACACAAATAAACACTTAAATGAAATGAATTAGGATAAAGGAATGATTACCTCTTAATACACATTTAAAAAAGAAAGCAAATAGTACTAGGAGGCATATGAAGGATGACCAGGGCGAAGCCACTGCACCACGGTTGTGAAAGTTTTAACAGGCAAACAGTTTATCAAACCATTTCCATGTTGCTGTTGATGAAGATTTTCCTCTACAAAACCTCCAAAACCTTTAAAATTTACAAAATTTACGAGAACCTAGTAGCCAACAAAACTTTCAAGACCTCAAAATAGGAATGTCAATGATTATCAGTTATAATGATTGAAGTGATTGAAAACATATTAACCTTGATATTGTAAATGATCTATCCATTGTCTTTGGTAAGTCAATACTGATGGATCCTATGTGCCTCATACTTGGTCTCCCCGATGTTCATATTGTCAACAGCAGGCATAAAAGACTGTTCAAACGACTGACCTTTGCTGCAAGAATGAACATCCTGCTCTTTTGGAGCAAGGATGCCACTCCAACAAAGAAATCGTGGCACAATCTCATAATGGACTGTATCCCCAATTAATATATTACTTGCATGCTTCACTCAACAGTGGATGCTTTCCATGAAGTCTGGGAGTCATACACAAAATATATCACACCTACACTGTCCTCTCCCATCTTACTAGGATTTCCTAAACGGTCCTAACCTACCTATGTATGCACCAGTCCAATGTATCATTTGTCATTGTCGTGCCATACCTGAGCTGTTTTTGTTTTGTTATTTTTTTGCTGTTTATGTTGTCTGTTTTTCAAAAAATGTTAATAAATAAACATATTAACCAATAAGGCAGAAAACTAAAGACATGTCAGGAAATGTTTTGTAGATCAGCTGTAGTACCTGCTTGTTCCACCAGGTGGTCACTCAGACCACTGGAAGTTCCTTGTTGGCAAGCAGAGAGCATTGTGGGGGTTTAGCTAGTAACGGGCACCATGACAGAGTGTCTGTGATGCTTAAAGCCTACCGGGCATAGCGCTCGTTTGGAAGGCTACAGCAAGGTTGTGCCAAGAGCGTCGCAGTGGCCCGGTGGTTGATCATGTTGGAGCAGCCATGTCATGTAATATACGTCATTGGAACAGTTGTGTCAAGACAGCATTCAGAGTGTCTATAACGGGACACAAAATGATGACCATTGAGTTCATTAATCGTGCCCTGCTGATTGTTGGTAATTAAAATTGTAAAAAAAAATTACGTCCCCACTTCCAAACCCTCAAGAACATTACACCTTCAAGACTCCAACTCTTTTGGAAGTGTCTGATACATAACGCTTTTATTTTATCATCAATGTCTAGTTCAACATCAGAACAAAAAGATTGTGTCACTGGCTTAATACCTGCTTACACTACAGATGTATAAGTGTAGAAACCAGTTTAGATCTGGCCTATGTAAGACACCAATGCACCATACATGTAAGACTCCTTGAGCTGCATGTGAGAATAAATTCTTCCTGAACAAGTGACAAGAATTGTTAAGCAAACCTCCCTGTCCTCGCATCTGGTTTGCACTAGTGGGGATTTACGTGATTTGTTTCTTTCAGATTGCAGCCGAGCGAGAAAAGGAGCTTCAGAAGCAGGAGGAGGAGAAGCAGCAGGCCAACATCGCCCTGAAGAAAGCCAAGGAGGACCAGGCGCCGAAGACCTTCAAAGAAGGTGTCGGGAAATACATCAACCCTACCACAATGTAAGGACACAACACGCATACTGATGTCTACACGCTGCTTTCAGTGTAGACGTGACTCATCCATAGGCATCATTGGGATACAGCTGCATGGAACTTAATATTTAACCCAATATGTTGGAGGAATTTGGATTAAAAAGCAGCAAAGTGTACTGCCTGTTTTCTCACAGTCTGATGGTGGCGACTTGTGACAAGGGACAGTAATGAATGGATGATAAAACATGATTGCATAGCGACATAGCACCACCGAATGGGTCGAAGCATAATGTGAAAAACTGCCAATTATGGAGAAGATTACCAGTTCTCCCAACGGGGATAATTCAGGTTTATTATCCATAACATATTTTTTGCTGAGTTTAGGTACATTGTGTTGCATTGTGTGACATTCCACTTCACTTTCTCTTGTTTTGAAATAATATTCGGAACTACCTGCACCTTATAGCTGAAGTTTATCGTTCAGAAGCGATCAGAACAATAGATTTTTGTGCTAATAAATTTAGCTTTTTATGGCGGTTTATGGTGGAATTCATTTGCGACGCGCACGTTAAACCCTGTAGCATTTGTGGAGGTACTGAAATGACTGTCATTGTCCAAAATTAGGGGGCATTAAGTGAACTGAAGATGCTGTACTTTGGCTAAAGTGTGTATTCAGAGATGATGAGGCTCCTGATGAGTTAATCCATATCATCCTGCTCCTGTCATCGCATCTTGTTCGTTTTATTTTGCAGAACATGTCAGTATTAATGCTTCCAAATTACAGTCTGTTTGTTTTTTTGTTTTTGGACAGTTTAATGCAAAGCTGACATGTGGGCCGTTTCAGTCCTTTGCAGCTTTTTCATTCGTGGACTTCCAGGACAAAGACGAGATGTGAATGCTCTGCACATCTAAAACTAGCACTTTGACTCACACAATGCTACAAACGTGTTTTGGCATGACTATAAAAAGGATGAAGTATAATTTATTTTGTTTAAATTATGACTCAACATGACTTTCATTCGTCTCCCTACATTAAAGGATGGTTTTGGATTTAACTGGACTGCCTTAATCCCCAAATCTTCAGCTATACACTCCAGTTTTAGATCATTGTTTTGGTTGTCTGGCTGCACATTAACTCCTTTGTTGTGTCTCGCTGCTTTTTCCAAACCCCCCCTTCATATACAGTGAAACTTTAAGCAGCTCTTCACAGCAAACAGGCAGATCAGTTCAAACTCCTCAACACCAAATAGTAGAGAGAAAAAGTGAATGAGGGTCTGTAACTGCCTGATGTTTGTTCTGTAGTTTGCACTGAAGCTGGAGCTTTTCAGGATGTCTAAAATCTGAAGCCTTCAAGACTGTAAGAACTTTTAAAACATTCTAAATTTTTGGAAACGTCTAAAACTCCCAGACTGCTGAAGCATTCAAGAACTCTTCAGAAATACTTCTACATTTTTAAGACCCCAAAAACCTTTAAAACCTCCAAAAGTTTCAAAAGCTCAAAATCCTCAGGATATCCAGAACTTCTAAAAATTCCTCCAAAACCTTCAAAAGCTTAAACACCTTTAAAATCTCAAAACCCTTTAAAACTTAAAAAACTTCGAGCCCTTAAAAAACAAAAAACCTTTAAGATCTCTAAAGCTTTCAAGACCTGAAAACCTTCCAAACCTTTGCAGTTTTCAAAACTTTCAGGACCTTAAAAAAACCCTTCAAATTTCCAAAAACCTTTTGAAACTTTTGAAATTGGCAAAACTTCAAAGACCACAAAATCCTCCAAAGCTTTTAAGACCTGAAACACCTTCAAAACCTCAGAAACTTTCAAGATCTTAACTTCCTTCCAAAACCTCCAACTATTTAAGAGCTCCAAAACTCTCAAGCCCTCAAAACAAAAACAAAAAAAACCTCTGAACTTAAAGAAATAAAAACACTTCAACCTCAAAAAAACTTCCACACACAAACACTTTGAAGATGTAAAAACCTTCAGAAATTTAAACACTCTCAAAACTTCCAAGACTGTGAAATCCTCCAAAACCTTCAAGACCACAACCCCCTTTAAGATTAAAAAAACAAGACCCAAAAAAGTCCTTAAAAATATCTTTAAGACTGAAAAAGTTCTACACCTGAAAAACATAAGACCTCCAACCTTAAAAGCATCAAAGTCCTCCAAGGGACAAAAAAAAACAAAAAAGATGTCCCAAATTTTTAAGACCTCAAAGTCTTCCAAAAACCACAAGACATTTAAGAAATTTTTAAAACCCAAAAAAATCCAAATCTTCAAAACCTTTAGCACTCCATCCTCTCATTGTGACAATATGCTGCTCTGTTTTATATCACTGTAAACTGAGTAACTTTGAAGTTTCCTTCTACAAATACGGACATTTGAAGAATGCTCCTTAGCCTTTGTAACGTTTTTTGTATGTTTTTTTAGGCCAAACAATCAGAAACAGAAAAAATCAAGACTTTGCTAACATCCTGCTCGTCCTCTTCCAGAAAACGCTCAGCTGCTGAAGACGACAGCGGTCCGTCCACCAGCGGAGTAGCAGCCAAGAAGTCCAAAGGGAAGAGCAGCTTCGGAGACTTCAGCTCCTGGTAGCACCGGCGCCTCCAGCATTTACCATTCTGAACTTTAACTGGTCAGCGTGACCGCGAGCAGAAATAATTTCATCCGTACTCTAGATTTTTGTAACGTCTGTCATCTCTCAGTGGTGTTTGCATCTTGTGAATCTATACATTAAAGCTACTTTTTTCATATGTGTTGTTCTTCTCTCATGTTGGGCATGTTGCTGAAAAAAACTGTGTGAATGTTGATTTCTTGTTTCTCATTTACTGCTTTGGAGCAACAAAGCTGCATCGTGACGAGACAAACAAAACTTTGTCAATCCAGTCCTCGGGAATTGATTTAGAAAAAATCAAACACCACCTCAAGCAAACATAAAAACGTATTTGAAATGGTTTGGTTTGGTTTGGCTATTATTACTTATTATTTAAATTTGTAATTTCCATTAACTTTTTCTAGTACAGTACTTCAAAATGTCTGTTTCCATATTTGAATCATCCCTGCATGCCCCTGGTTGCTGCCATGTACCTCGAGCATGATAACAATCTGAAATGAGCACCATGGACATGAAGCAGCTTTCATTAGCACATTACTGACTCTATGTTTCCCAGAATCACCTGCAATGGCAATTTCCATGCACTGTAAGATTTACCCCCCAAAAATGTTTAAAAAAAAATCTTGCAACAAGGATGCCAGAAAAATATCTGTAAAATAATATTTTTAGTGAATTAAAGTACAGTAACTACAGTGTAATTTCCTGGTAACACATTTTTATTAGTCAAAATGCATTATGTACAGTTTTGGCCTGTTTATTTATGGTAAAAATGTAAATTAATGCTATTTTTCTGTGATTTTACTAAATAGTATGTAATTTACTAACACAGTGAAAGATCAGTAAACCATAAAGTAATAGGTTAGAAATTATGTCACATTTTTCAGTCCTTAATATGCATATTTCTGTCTTTTTATTCGGGGCTAATTTTGTTAAAATAACAGTATTTTTTGCTGATTTAAAAACATCACAGAATAATGTAAAATTACAGTCAGACGTTGTGAAAGATCAACACAGAAATTAATATTTTGTTTGTTTCTACTAGATATTTTCTGTAATTTAACAAACCAGTGAAAAACTAAAATGACAGTTAAAAATGTAAAAAAAAAATTTAAATGCTTGATTTACTGGATTCTTTAATGACAGCAAATATCTGTAAAATAACTTTTAAAAAAATACTATAATTTTAATGTCAAACATAATGATTTGTAAAGATACAGATTTTTGATGTGGAGATTATTTACAGTTTTGGCCTGTTTTTTTTTGTTTTCACAAGATTATCTGTAATTTTAAAAAACATAACACCTAAAAATTGCTTAATTCATTTATTTATTCATTGATTCATTTATTTATTTATTTATTTTCTATCATGGTAACAGACGGACCAACAGATCTGTTACTGAGCGTCATAAAACAGGCGTGTATTTGCATGAAGCTGTACGATTCGTTCCTTTCCAGATCTTCGTTGCGCTGGTGAACCTGTGGTATCTGTGATGGTACCCTTGTGTCACATAACGCATAATTTATTGGATGCTCGGTTATCGGCCTAATGCTGCTCCACTCGAGCCTCATTATTTAGCTGCGCTCCTGGCAGCGGTTGCCAAGCTTTGGGCTTTTACCTGAATGAATGCACCCTTGAGTGTCCTCAGCGTCTCCCCTGTCTGAGCGGGATTAAGCTTTGTAAACACGGGAGGCGGAAAATGAAGTTGGTGCCCTCCAAAACTGAACTTCCTGACCTACACGATTATCCTTTTCACACATGGGGTGCTAAAACTGAGCCTCGGAGTCGTTCATTCTCCAGCCGTCATGTCGGCAGAGTGGCGGAAAATGAATTCCAGCAGGTTCTGGGACACCGAAGTCACTAATTGAATGAATAATTGAAGTCTGTGGTTGTTGCAGGGATTGGATGGGTGACTTGAGAGGGAGGAGTGACAAGAAAACAGTAACTTTAGACACTTTGTTGTTCACAGAATGCACTCAAGTGTTGAAGCCACGAGGAGGCTAAAAATACATCAGTTCATTGGTTACATCTGCATTTTTTTTTAACATCAAGCAATTAATTTACTTCATTCAGGTGAATTTTTTTATGCAGGTAAATCTGTCAGATCAGGCAGAATTCAGGAATTATGCCATAGCTTCTCAGATTTTGTCCAAACTATTTGTTGTTTTAGACCCAAAACTAAGATCTGTAGAATATTTTTGGCTGAATTTTGAGAATTTCATGTTACAAAAACTCAAGACTCAAAAGAAACATCTTACCTATGAAGCCATTTTCAGGGTTTAGCATCTCAATAACAAAAAATCAGTTAAGACACTAACAAAACTGTAATCTCTTCATATATTATTTGTTATTTCTGATCATTTGGTAACTAAAAAGGTCTATTATTCTTGAAAAAAATGAAACCCCGATTTACAAAAGTGCTTTAGAAATGCATATTTTATTCTCAGTTCTTTTCATTCTGGCGCTAGCTATTGTCATTTTCTTGGGTAAATGTCAAATATTTGCTTTTTCCAACCTCTTAAATGTGAAAATTTATTGTGTTTCGTTGTTTGTGGACCTCCTTTTATTTTTAGGACTCGGTGAAGGTAGCGTTAAAAGTCAGCAGGAAATATGAACAGTTTCCAGCAGCCTTCATTTTGTACAACATCGCAGAAAAACACCAGCATTAGTAGAATTTTTGTCGACAGTGACAACGTAGCATTAACCACAATTAGCATGTTGTTTATCTCATATAAAATTATGACGAGGACAGCCTTTTAAACACTAGATGCAGCATGTTCTGCCAAATGGGTTTGTTTTTAGGAGTATATTAACATTACAAATAAAGTTGAGAAATGATAAAAAAAAACCAAATGTTAAAATGAGTGTAGTCTGTTTCATGCTAACGCCAGAGGATCTGACAGCGCTGAGGTCACAGTTTGGATTTTGTCCTCATAAAAAAGTTCCAGCGATGACGTCGACCTTCCTGTCGCCCTGTTTGTGCGTCGTTGTGTGTTATGTAGGTAAGATTCTTTATATTTTCCTGTTTTTTTCGGCTAAACATATAGTTAGCTAGTGGGACGTGCTAACATTAGCATGGCGGTCTTGCTAAGTGGAGCATTAAAACAATTAAATGTAGGCAGTTCAATTTTTATCAAATCTGGTGTTTTATAATTAGTTTAATTAGTATGTGCTTTACTTTTAGAAGTTAAAAAAAAAACTTACTGTAGCTACTAAAACATTAATGAGCAATGACCTCCAAATTCTCCTTTATAATGTGCTGAAAAAAATAGTGGATGAATGGATGGATGGATAGAGAATGAAATAAAACAACTCTAACAGTGCAAATTGAAGTAAAATGTGTAAATAAAAGTTCTGCTGCTAACATCTTGTGACCTTCAGAGTCCAAACGTCGACAGGCCAGAGCGTAAGAAGAACAATAATATGTGGATGGTTTTAATGTTGTGGTAACCAGCGGTATGTCTGCACAGAAAGAAAGTTCATTTATTGTAAAGGTACAGATTGAGAATTTGGTTTGTGAGGAAAAGTACATGAAAAAGTGATGCCACACACGTCTGAGCCTTTAAGTGCAAGACTGCAGCCAACATCTGGTTAGCTTAGCTTAGCTTAGCTTAGCACAAAGACCAGAATCTGGTGTGATGTAAGAAAATCTACCTAAAGTTTACGACATTTCCCAACCAATAAGTCAGGCTTACTTTGGCAAGTGGGTTTCATACAAATGAAGTGTAACGCAAAGTGCTGTGTGGAACAAAAGCAACAAAAATCCAATAAAAACAAACTTTTCCCGCTGCCACCTCACAAAAAACATTATTTTATAAATGAAAGGTGCAATAAAGCAGGAACTGAGGAACACTGTTATAAATAACTGCAATGCAGTGTTTTAATCTGGACAAAAACCATTAAGTGGAGCAAAGAATGACAATTTATCATTTTGTTAGAACTCCCAAGAAGTAAAATGTTAATTGGTTTTAGGGTCTTTATGCTCAGCTGAAGAGTCAGAGTTAAGTGGTATCAATCTTCTCTTTTGAGTATGAATAACTGTGTTGCCCGCAATGTCAAGTTTTATTTTAGGAAAGGAAGACCAGGAAGTTATTCAGCATTTACTGCCCTGTCCAGCTTCTAGTTTTATTATTGATAACACCCTTAAACAAGCCATAACAGCTGTCTGCTCCGGTGTCAGTTCCCAGGTGTTATGTATACAGTTGTTATAGAGGATACTTGACTCAGCTTGACTACTTGTATCATTAGTCCGGTTTTATCTCCTTTAAAAGGCCAAACAGAGGACACAGTCTTTATGCAGTCATCACCGCACCTCCTCAGTCCTGTAATAAAAACTGACCAGAAGTCTCTTGGCGTACGTGCATAAAATAGTGAAGTGAGTCGGTGGACATCATCATCTCTTCATTTCCAGGCCTCCGTTTGAAGTCGACCATTGAGAATAGACATGAGCGGAGATACCAGAGGGGAAAAGGTTGTGAGCGTTGTGGAGACTTACTCAGCAGTCACAGTCTTGTGCAGTTCAGCATCTTCTTTCAGATTTTTTAGACCTTCTAGTAATATCACTACCTGTTTTAAATCTCAGCCCTGGTTATGCCCTCATTCCTACTTCACATTTTTATAGCAGGACTATATATACTATGTTTTAGGGCTGAAAATAAGAATTTTATATCCATTCTTGCAGCGTGACTGTCTGGTCTAAGAGTTGGTTTATATCGTAGACGGTATGCAAAGATGACATCAGACAGTTTAACATGTCATACCTGGAGTGGATATATGTTGAATATCCATAATTCAGTTCTTCTGAGTGATAAAGAACTTTTTTTTTACATATTGACGTCTTTTTGCATTCATGTTTTTTTGAGGTTTCTCATTAGAGAAATCTACAGTTCAGCTGAAGAGATCTGAAATGTGATTTGTGGATATCTGCATTTGAATTAGGACTAGTTTTAATTCTAGTTCTAGATATCTGCAGTTTAATCCTGACAAGTTGGAATTCTAGTTCAAGGTATCTTAAATTCCCCTGAGTTTAAGTTATCAACAACGTCCTTTTTTGTTATTGGAAATTAGGGTTAAACTTGTCAGAATGACGTTGTGGGTGTCTTAAACCGGAGTTCTGTCTTGTCAAAATGTAGTTCTAGATG